CCCCCGCATAAAATTGAGGGCCTGCCACGCAGGCTATTATTAGAATGAAAAATATTTCTGCCTAAATAAATTACTGAGGAGCCTGCGATTTCGGTAAGCGGTTGTAATGGATGGCAACGTGAACTTCTTCTTATTGGAATATAATGGACCACATTAATGTCTTTTACTCATATCGGTTCATTGCCGCCTCTGTGTTGCCGCGTATAAACGAATGCAAAAGCGATGCAAGTTTTTACTCACGATCGGCAGTTTTTCGTAGAGTCAGACTGCAGAATATTTTCAGTCAAAATGCAGACATACATTAAATTAGAAAGTCAACGAAAGTTTTTAATTGATCTCTCGTCCTCTCCTGCTTCCTATTTCTGTAAAAACCTCTATTATCCCACCTGTCGATTACCCTCTTCCCAGCAAGTGAGGGCTCAGGGACTATAGAGACCCATTTCCACATTATTTTGCTCAAGATCTCGTGTAATACCCTCTCAAATATAACGCTTCCTCGTTCTAGGACATTTCTCTCTATTAAAACACCAAGTCTGCCTCTTCACCGATCACAAGAAGAACACGTGTATTGATTACATAAACTTCAAGCTAATTTACTTCATTTCGGCAAAATCAATACAAGCCATTACCCTCCCCCTCCTTTTAGACCATCAAATTCGGGGAGGAGGGGTGTTGGCTTCTGTTGCTTCAGTAGAGGATCTACAGTATTACTATTGGGACTATTAGCTACAGGGACTGAAGGACTTTCGTGGGACAGAAGGAAGGTTTATAGAAGTAAACTGGGAATACGTTTATATTTACCCAGTCATCAAAATAATTTAAAAGACCAAATAAGTGTCCATGATGTTTTCTATTCCAACCGAGTATGTAATTCAGAAATATACAGACTGTATAATACAGCAATGGTCAGCAAATGTTAAGAAATAGAAGTCATTTGTGTTGGTATGACTTCAGACGTTGTTAGAACTTTCGATACGATAACAGACTTACATAAAGTACTGTCCTGACTGAGATAAGAGGCGAGGCCGCGGTAAATAGGACGACAACGTGTAAACAACGTTTTGGTTTTTGGTTTTAATACACCACAGTGTTTTACCGCACAAAAGGCTTAATAATTCGACAATATTTGTAAAGAAATAAAAGTTTATACATTGTTTTAGTACATTATCGTTTTCTTTGTGTAATTATGTTTGCATGCGCGTTGAAATAAGTGGGTATATAGCGATACCAATACAGTAAAACACTAGTGATCGAAGAAATCAATCAAGACGGTGACGTTCGTGAGCTATAAAGAAGCCGACTTTAAAGGAGTTTTGCCTGGCAAATGCTCGAAGTTGCTTGACGTAGTTATCATTGGGTCATTGGTCGATGTCATGAACTAAAATATGAGTGTCCAAAACAAGAAACAAGAGAGAAGTAAGGCCAAAACGGCGGTTAGTTTGGCCTCGAGGCGGCTTATTGGTGCAGCCCACCGAGGAACAGAGTATGATGTGTTTGTGATGTTACTCTGAGTGCATATCCACACCGGACGAGCTTGAAAAATATGCCCGGCCACGGTGGGATTCGAACCTACGACCTTTGGAATACTAGCCCAATGCTCTTCCAACTGAGCTACGCGGTCAGGACGGTTCGAGTATCCCACCGTGGCCGGGCATATTTTTCAAGCTCGCCCGGTGTGGATATGCACTCAGAGTAACATCACAAACATATTATTCACCTGAGTACACAACATCAACACAGAAAAAATTCAGAGTATGATGTGTTGAAGAGTTTAATAATCGAACTCGAAAAAGCTTACGATGATTTCTGTGTAGCAAATGAAGAATTTGAACTTCTCGTGTCAGAGGAAGAGAACAGTGAACATCGTGTTGTGAACGGAGAGGATGTTAGTGAGTATAGGGACAATGTTAAACAGTGTTATAATGAGGCTAGGGAAGTATTTTTGGAACAAAAGGCTGCTGAGCAAGAAATAATCAAAAACTTAGCAGCAGTAGATCCAGCGAGAGTTGCCCTAAAGCTAGATTCTAGTCGAATAGGTGAGTTAATCGAAACAGTTGATATAAACATTAACTCTACCAGTCCAAATAAACGAGCATTGCAATTAGACAAAGAAGAATTGCAGACAATGTTAAATGTGTTGTGTGGGAAAGTCTCTGAATTGAGTTTGATTGGGTCTTCAAAATCAGAGCAAGATATTCAGTTACATCTTGAGATTGAAAAGATTATTGCACAAGGTTTTAAACAGGTTAGATCCATAAATCTGTACCTATGTGACTGTCAAAGTTCAATCGAAAAGAATCCATCACCCCCTATTGTAAATCAAGTAGATACTGGGGGTGCATCTGCTGCACGTCTTAATATAGACTCCCAAAATAGTGCAACCTCTAGTAGCCCACCTATAACCAATCCCATTACTCTAAGTGACCACACCCCTACCAGCCCCCCAAAGGAAGGAACAGTGAGTGACATCCACCAACCCGCAGTTACGGAGACAGATACTACCATCAATGTGTCTGCACCTGAATTTGTACCTTCAACCATGAATGATCCAGTGAGTAGTTCTGTAATCAGTGCCCAGTCCACCTATACGAGTATCAATCCCCAAGTCATACCCCAAAGTGCAAGTACATCACAGCAAACCGTCCCTATTTTATATCAATACCCAATCACCAGCATCATGCACCACCTCCCTCCACAGATCAATCCATTTGCAATCAACTCACCCCACCACTTAAGTACCAGCACCGCCCCAATCTACTTGTCCCCACCTGTCAATCCCATGTCAAGTTTTCCACCAAATTCGATTGGCTTACACCAATACCCAAGCAACACCCAACCCCACCTTGGTACAAGTATGACCCAAGCGACATCACAGCAAACATTCAGTAACACCAATCCATACCACAACACGCCCCTACTACCATACCACAGTATGACCACAAGTCTCTACAACAATGTACCTCCACAGAATTTGGTAAGTTCACCAGAGACAAGTATGTATTTGAACAGTGTGTCCTCAAGTGCTCCTCCTACTAGCCATCAACATGGAACCCACTCCAACTACCGGTGACTTATTCTACTCCCAATGCGAGCGAGACATATTTGGTCAACCCCAGCACAGTCCCAATCCCCTCAGTCGGTCCACAACCTACACCTCACCACAGCTCTAATTCACTGGGTTTCAATTATCGGGTCCAGGTAAAGAAAATGGCTTTGCCAACATTCAGTGGTAACCGCAAAGAGTGGCCAGAGTTCAAAGCGATTTGGAAAATTTGACGTTGAGAGATGTTGGTTTCATCACCGAACTGCTACCATGTTATTTGAAAGTAGAATGGCGAAGAAGATATAGGGACATCACGGACAGTGAAAAGATACACCCTTTCATCCCTTTCATGCATTTCCTCGAAGGCGAACGAGAAGCAGTCTCTCGAATAGCCGAGTACCAGCCAAAGGGAAGGAGAATTGAATTTCCAAAATATGAGCGAAGAAAGCAACATGTACAAGGTTATCATGCAAGAAAGCAATCCCCGAAGAAGTATTACAAGTGTGCCTATCCATCTCACAGAAAGGACAGTATCAGTCATACCACATCAGAATGCAAAGAGTTTCAGAAATTACCGGTTAGCGGGAAAGAAGGAAAATATGAACTCTTAAAACAAATTGATGCTTGTTTCAAATGCTTTGGAAACCATAGAAGGCTAGACTGTCCCAAGAAAGTTCCCTGTCCATGTGGAAGTGGTCAACATCATCAGTTACTCTGTGAATCCAAACGTCCAGAAGAAAATAAGGGTACCGATTTCGCACAGAAAGAAACCCACGTTTCTCGATCGGATTCATTATCCCTGTATCCCATCTACCAAACAGCAGTGTGTGGAAGCAACAAAACTGTGTCTGTTTTCTGCGATGGAGGATCAAATGCCACCTACATAACCCACCGGGCAGCTGAAAGAATAAAAGCCAAGAAACTTGGAAAGATCACCCTTGACATAACCACCATGGAAAATGTTGAACAGACGTACCACACCCAGCAGTATGAATTCACCTTGCAGACAAACTCGGGTAAGAAGGTAATCATCACAGCTTATGGAATGGAAAGAATTACTGGCCCAGTTAGCAAATTGAACAGCGAAGTGTTGAAGAGTCTATTCCCGGAATATGATCCCGACTCACTCCAGAGAAAATCAAACCATGTAGACGTTTTTCTTGGATGTGATTACTTTGGATTGCACCTAGACTTGCCACAAGTCGGCCTCGAACGAAACGCGAGCAGCCGACTTGTCATACTTGCAGCGCGCCAAATTTTACTGACCCAAAAATGGGTCAGTAACGCTGATCTATATATATTGTGTATATTCATTTGTTGATGATCTCTTCAACCAATCAGAGAAGCGTGAAAGGGACATGTTGACGTATTTATAAACAGGCTTCCGGAAACAAGGAATTTGCGCAGTATTTCGTGTTCTGCCTTTCAACACTGTGTCTGTGGTTTCTGTGTTTGCAATGGAGAATTCGGTTTCAAAGGGGATTGAAAAGGCACAGCAGTTTTCTGGCTATTTAGAGTTGAAAGAGTATCAACGGCAGACCATTGAAGCCTATCTATCTGGCAGAAATGTGTTCGTTTCGGCACAGACAGGATATGGGAAAAGCTTAACCTTTGAGTTAGCTCCGCATACTTTCGAGTACTTGTCGGAAAATAACAAGTCGTTGGTTCTCGTCGTCGTTCCGTTGGTCTCGCTTATGAAAGACCAAGTTAGCAATTTGGTCAGACCAAGTTAGCAGTTTGGTCAATTTAGTTCCTACATTGGGGACGACTGCTTCGCAAAGCCAAAGCGAAGTGACAAATATGAAATATGACGCACATGTGATTAGATAATGATGCGATTAGACAACTCAGCCCCCTGTTAATTGATAGCCAATAACTTATTCACATTTTTTAGCGCGAAATGCAATTGAAAACCCTGCAAGTATGACAAGTCGACCTCGCGCGAGTCGCGCTCGCTGCTTGCGTTTCGTTCAAGGTCGACTTGTGGCAAGTCTAGATTGCACCCTAAGCATGAAGAAGCTCGGTGCGGAGATAATCTGAGTATGAGTGGAGAATTAGGCGTCTGTCTTCAAGGTGCCCTCGAAGGAACTAAGCATGATTCAAATCTCGCGAAAGTGATTCATGAAGTTAACGTTAAAGTGGAGACATATTAACTTCATCTCGAGGATCAACCCCAGTTCAACCTCAGTTCACCCTCACCACCTCCTTGTTCAGCTGAAGCAGATCAGCCGTTCTACAACATGACAAGTGGTGTTCATCTGGCAAGAGAAAAACGACAAGAAAGTCAGGTTGGAAATTTCATTGAGGGCGAAGAGCTTGACACTGAGGCAAGCCCTCGTTGCGGCAGTTGTTGTGGTAAATGCCCTATCCTTGGACATACGTACTCGTTCAAAGAAGAGCAAGAACTTAAAATTATTCGTGAGAATCTAGAGTATGATGATTCCAACCAGTGTTGGATAACCAGTTATCCTTGGATCGTGGATCCACGTAACCTACCTGATAACTATAATGTCGCCTTAGCAACCTTGGAGAAGACAGAGCGTACTCTTCAAAAGGATAAACTTTGGGCAAATACGTATAAAGAGCAAATGAATGATATGGTTCATCGCAAAGTGGCACGTCTTCTCACGTCCTTGGAAATCCAACAGTGGAAAGGTCCTATTTTCTACATATCTCACTTGGCTGTGCTCAACCCCAAGTCAAATTCGACGCCTGTTCGCATCGTGTTCAACTCCAGTCAAGTCTACAAAGGAGTGTCTCTAAATTCATGTCTAGCAAAAGGACCTGATTGTTATATGAATAACCTGATCGGAATCCTGTTGCGTTGGCGAGAAGAAGCTGTGGCTTTGGTAGGTGACATTAGGAAGATGTTCAATTCAGTTTACCTGAAAGAATTGGAGGAACATTGTCATCGATTTCTCTGGAGAGGTCTTGAACTTGACCTCCCTCCCGATGTATACTTGATGGAACGAGTCAATATGGGAGACACGCCTGCGCCAGCCATAAGTACGGAAGCAATCTACAAGACGGCTGACCGATTCAAAGAGGACAGCTCTGAAGCAGCAGAGTTGTCAAAGAAATCGAGCTATGTGGACGATCTGATTGACTCGCATCCGACCGTAGGTTGCGCCCTCAAAGTCGCAGAAGAAGCAGAGAATATGCTTGCGAAAGGCGGGTTCTCAGTGAAATGCTGGCAGCTGACTGGAGAAGAAAGTCCTCGAATGACGGCTCGTGGAGTCAATACCGAGGAGTCTGGCAAACCCCTGAACATGCTAAAAGGAACCGAGTCCAATTTTCGAGTTCTTGGTCTTGGATGGGACCCTCGAAGTGATTCCATATTGTACGAAGTCGTGTTAAACTTCTGCAAAAAGAAGCATGGAGTGCGCACTGGCCCAAATCTGAATGCAGACGACCTCCCAAAAGCGTTGCCCGAGATCCTGACGAAGCGAATTGTACTAGAGCAGGTGATGAAGATCTACGATCCCCTAGGTCTTGTATGTCCTTTCACATTACGTGCGAAAGTATACGTACGTGAGGTATGGTCACGGAAGCTTGACTGGGATACCCCGCTCCCAGCTGACATCACAGCCAAATGGATTCGATTCTTCACGATGTTATTCCAACTCGAACAGTCTCGTTATTCACGTTGCTTACGACCCAAAGATGCTGTCGGTCGCCCATGGCTTATCATTCTTAGCGATGGAAGTGATCTGGCGTACGGGTATGCTGCGTATATCAGATGGTCCTTGCTGAACGGGGAATATTGGTGTCGATTGATCATGGCGAAATGCAGAATTGCTCCACTCAATAAACTGTCCACGCCGCAAATGGAGTTGAATGCTGCAGTGTTGTCGAAACGAGGGAGGAAAGTGAATGAGTTGGAGATGCGATTTGATTTCGAAAGGGTCTTGCAATTGGTCGATTGCGAAACAGTCCTGAGCATGATCAATAAAAACCAGCACTCGCTTCAAGGTGTACGAAGGAGTTAGAATCGGCGAAATCCAAACTGCTACCAACGGTGATCTCTCCTGCTGGGCTTGGATGTCTGGTGAGAATAATACGGCAGATTGGCTTACGCGTGGTCGTAATCCGGATGAATTGGCTGAAGACTCTGAATGGTGGAATGGACCTCCTACCTGTATCAACCCATCGAGTCGTGGGGTTTAATGTTTGGACTCCAAAAGAACGAAGCTCTTCCCGGAGAAAAGAAGATCCGTTACACTGCAACAGCTGCTTCCGAGATCCCGGATATCGATTACAAGAAGTCAAGTGACGTAGACAGGATCATATGGATGGTAGCAAAAATTCTCAGCATGGCCAGACATAAGTTATTCCGTGGAGGAAGCACCTTACACATTACGTCTCAACTGCTCAAAGAAGCTGAAGATCTGGTGGTGAAAGATGTACAGAAAGAGCTAAAGGATGAAATTGAGAAAACGGATCAGAAGGGGCGAAAGGGCGGTCGTTACGCGTCTTTGAATCCCGGAAAGGATGAGCATGGTTATTACGTGGTCGGCCAACGTTTGAAAAATAACAATCCCATGACCCCTGATGCGTCGTTGCAAAAGTTGCTCCCAACCCACCATCCAGTCACGCGATTGTTCATGGAACGTGCTCATAAGCAATGCGTGCATAGAGGACGGGATTCCACTTTGGCTCGTTCTAGACAGAAGTATTGGATCGCACAAGGAAGCAAGATCGCGCAGACCGTCAAAAGCAAGTGTCAGTTGTACAAGCTTCGTGATGCAATATTGGGAGAACAAGAAATGGGACGGTTGCCAGAAGCACGGCTCAAACCAGCACCCCCGTTCACCGACACCATGGTAGATTTATTCGGTCCATATGTTGTTCGCGGTGAAGTCCAAAAACGTACCAGTGGAAAAGCGTATGGGGTCATTTTCACCGACTTGGTGTCCCGAGCGGTTCATATTGAAGCAGTTTACGGTTATGACACAAGCTCGTTTCTCCTGGCGCTCAGCTGATTTGCAAGTATTCGCGGATGGCCTGAATTCATTTACAGTGATCCTGGTTCACAGTTAATCGAGCAGAAAGAGAGCTTAAAGAAGCCTGGGATAAGATCGATCGAAGCCAGTTACACAAGAGTGGTCTACAAAATGGTCTAACGTGGAAATTTGGATCAGCAGATAGTCCTTGGTATCAAGGAGCAGTGGAGTCTCCTGTGAAAGCAGCCAAGAGAGCAATTGTCTTTGCAGTGGGCAAACGTTGTCTTACGGTGTCCGAGTTCCTGACGGTGTGCTCCGAATCTACTCAACGAGAGGCCAATTGGAACATTGCCTTCCCTCGATTCCGATCTAAACGTCTTTACTCCGAATAGTCTCCTGTTAGGACGCTCGACAGCCAAGAATCCTGGAGGATGGCAACCTTTCACATACAGCCAGAGTCCGAAGACGAGATACAGTCTGGTGCAAACAGCCGTAGAAGATTTCTTGGAAAAGTGGATACAACTATATGCTCCTCTCTAGTTGTCCGTCGCAAATGGCATGTCAACACAAGAAATTTACGTCCCGGTGACGTCGTTATGATCGCGGACAAGAATGTGATGCGGGGAGAATACCGTCTCGGAGTTGTTAAAGAGGTCTTTCCTGATCAGGATGGAAAAGTCCGTCGAGTTCTGATAACGTACAAGAACTTTCGTGTTGGAAGCCGTCGGCAAGATTATGGAATCAGTGAAGCTGTTACTGTTTCTCGAAGCGTTCAGCGTTTGGCACTACTCGTACGTACTACCCGTGGAAACAGAAGATGGAGACAAGGAAGATGTTTGCAAAACGGAAACATAGAACTAGGATTATTACGGACACGTATTTTACATTATGTTATTTTGTTAAAAGCGGTATCGTATCGACCCCATCCTCCCGGTGTGTTGGTATGACTTCAGACGATAGATATCTTATATACACTAGATAGCGCATCTCTTTTAGTAAAATTGAAGCCAAGAATATTCCAGCGGTTACCCCCATTTGAATAGATGGCGGCCATGTTGGTCGTTCCCACTTACTAATAAACGCTTAAAAACAACAATAACTTTCATCATTTGAATAGTTTAAAAATGTATTTGGAATAGGGTTAACTTAATGTTTAAGTTCCCTGTTTAAAAAATAGAAAACATACGAGTCTTCTCATTTCATGGGAATGACCTGAGACTGCAATCACGGCTTCAATTTTTGAATTGCAGAATGATTAGATGCACTATCTAGTGTATATTATACAAATAATGAATGTTTATGAGTGCAATGGTAAGAATATTTTCATGAGGTGAAAGATGGAATGTTCCATTCAACGAGGCGACAGCCGAGTTGAATGGAACATTCCATCTTTCACCGAATGAAAACATTCTTACCATTGCACGAATAAAAACATTCATTATTTGTTTTATATAATACCAAAATAGACTAATATTAAAAAGTTTACTGTAAGCTCCAGCCATTTTGACGAGTCATGTATTTGCATTAAATCCCATTTACTGAGTTTCGAAAATCGGGTTAAAATAAACTGCGATTACCGTACGAGAAGCATTTTGACGGATGCGATTTATCGAAAACACAAGGAGTGCAATGGAATAAAACGTATAGTACAATTGCACTCGCAAGAGTGCAATGGAACGTATTCCATTGTACTCTTGGGAAATGGAATTTTCTATTCAATATCACGTGACCATAAACAGCCAATTAAACGATCAGAATTCAATAAGGTATTATATAAAAGATATCTATGCTTCAGACGTTGTTAGAACTTTCGATACGATAACAGACTTACATAAAGTACTGAGATAAGAGGCGAGCCCGCGGTAAATAGGAGGACAACGTGTAAACAACGTCAGCCGTTCCGCACGTTGTAACCAATAATCTATTGGCGTTGTAATGCCATTGTATGCAATAAACTATTGGGTTGTAATGGGTATACGATTAATCCAAACGTTAATCCTAATCCAAACCCTAATCCTAACCTCTAACCCCCACCTCCTAACCTCTAACCACACCCCCTAACCCTTAACCCTAAAGTCGGTGGCCAGCTACCCCTCCGGGGAATATAACCTCCCACTTCCCCAAGCTAAGCCAATTACATGTATAACTAGAACTTTTGTCTAATGATTGTGGTTTTGTCTTCGTGCGGAACGGGTGACAACGTTTTGGTTTTTGGTTTTAATACACCACAGTGTTTTACCGCACAAAAGGCTTAATAATTCGACGATATTCGTAAAGAAATAAAAGTTTATACATTGTTTAAGTACATTATCGTTTTCTTTGTGTAATTATGTTTGCATGCGCGTTGAAATACGTGGGTATATAGCGATACCAATACAATATTGTCTTACCCAGGTTTTGATTTGATCCAAAAATTATCAGATACATATAATTGAAGAACGGTCCCTAATGGGCCGACATTTGAATATTAATATTCAATATCAGTAGTTATTAGTAAACGCGACAACCAAAATCTATCACTATGATTCTCTGTCCTCCGCAGAGGCTTTCCAAAGGCGCTAGATAATAAGAGGTGAGAAAGTTCGTCATGTTTCGCGCACGAATACATTTTTCTTTGATTTTGACCCGGTCACTGAACCCCATTCCCTAACCCTAACGTCACTGTAACCAAACATATTAAAGGCGAAACACACGATACAAGGCGAAACAGCGACTTTCCTAATTACCTCCGCCAGGAGGTTATGTAATCATCTGGGTTTGTATGTGTGTGTGTGTGTATGTGTGTGTATGTGTGTGTGTATGTGTGTGTGTGTGTGTGTCTGTGAGCACGATAACTCAAGAAATACCAAACATATCCGTACGAAATTTTTTGAATGCATTTCCCATCGGCTAAGCAGGAACTGATTAAAATTTGGTTGAATTTGGTTAATAATTGAACGAGAAATGAACAAAATTTTGTCTTGCTTTTCCCGGTCAATTAACAAAAAATATTACTGAATGCGTAATTAGGACGTGTATAATTTATGCACTCAGTGCTAAGACAATAATGAGATGATAAACCTCATTAATATCTATTGTCTTAGTTGCATTTCACGCGACCGAAATTCAATGTCTAAAACAAGGCTTACGGAGTTACGCATTATTACGTTCACCAAAGTGCCAGTCCATTCAAATTCTAACAACATTAGATTACTTCAATACAGGGTGTATAAAAAGAACGCAACCTCGGAATTTCCCAAGAAATCGACATTGTTTTAAAGACAAAAGATTTTAGCTGACTGGGAATTTAAAATAGCACAACTGTGAAAATTACTGCACGCGCGAGTGCATAAAGCAAAATTTATGCATTTATTTAATGACACTTAATAAGTTTTTATTTTACAAGTACTGTACAGTACAACAACAGTAATATGTTCTATTAGCAATTCGATTTCAATTCGCGGGGGCCTGAAATCTTTTATGCTTAAGAATTATAAAGTGGATTTCTTAGGAAATTCCAAGGTTGCGTTTCACTTCCGAGTAACGGGCGGAGGTATGCAGTCTCTGAGTGCCCTCTAGTTCCTACCTGTGTTGGTATAGCCCTGTTGCTACTCTACTAACTCTAGCGCACGAAAACCTCTGCGGAGAAGAGAGACTACTTCTTCCAATAATCTGTATGTGTACAACACTCGTCACCACCCTCGCACCCAGGCTCTTTTCTTTCTTCAAGACCCTGGGTACGAGCTTATAGACACTAATATAATTACTTGTTGCAAAATTATCACGTCCATAATCTGTCAATAATCTATTTCTTCTCACATATAGCTATGTGACTGTAACATGCCGTATCTATTTTGAAAAACTCGCCACATTTCCAACAGATATGTGCATTACATTCTCTACAGTTTACATCATGAACATCCTTTATTTTTCTCAATCATCACTGAACATTTAGGACACTCGCGGGTATCTGCTCCTTCCGCCCATTCCTTCAATTGTTGCTCTGACTTCGACAATCCTTCTTTACTCGTTTTATAAACTTCACACGTATCAAATTTGTCATGAGCAGAATCGCCACATTTCTTACACAAACGAATGTCACATTCAGGGCAGGCAAACACACTTGGATTGGGAGTGACTTCATATATCCAAGAACAATCAGGCGTCGGACAAGGCTTGTAGCTAGTGTTGCCAATCAAAAAACATTTCTACGGAGCTCGATAGAGCTTTTGAATTTGTTCTGTACTTAAAAGCGCTACGTAATCTTCTTTGATGGCAGGAGATTCACATCCTTCACACATACACTTCCGAGGAAACATATCAGCGCTCTTTACTGAATCAAAAACATTGCTAAGATACTGCGTAATACAAGCAAAACAATACGCATGGCCACATAATAAAGCAAGAAAATACGGATCTTCAACGTCGGCAAAACAAACAGGACATTCATTATCAACGTTTGTTTCTCTTCGTGAATTAGGCAAAGTTTTAAGAAATTCTTCCACATTATTTTGTTTCGTGATGACCCTCCTTCTTTTGAGGATCACTCCTTTCTTTTCCATGTCGTCATATTGATATAAATCTGAATGGAAACTGCATAATTTAACCAAGGTTGATAAAATGTAAACGATCACATGATCTAAATCAACCACAACTACTGTAGTAAATTACTTAACATTTTCTTCATATCAGTATTACTACTGTCAACTGATGGTAACAATATCGTGGCATTAAAGTAGCATCCAAAATTGATCAATAATCAATTACAAAATGGAATATGTCTATAGCATTTTTCGCTAGTTTCAAAGAGACTCCCACATTTCCAACAAATGTGTGCTTTACATTGAGTACATTGCATATGTTCACATCCCGCATTTTTTTCGATCAGAACTGAACATCGAGGACACTTCCTAGTATTTGCTCTTGCCGCCCATTCGTTATACAGTCGGTCTGATTGCGATGGATCTTTACTCGCTTTAAAAGCTTCACATGCCTCAAACATTTCATGAGTAGAATCACCACATTTCTTACAAAAACGAATGTCACATTCAGGGCAGGCAAACACACCTGGAATGGGAGTGACTTCATATACCCATGAACAATCAGGTGTCGGACAAGGCTTGTAGCTAGTGTTGCCAATCAAAAAACATTCCAACGAAACTTGGTAGAGCTTTTGAATTTGTTCTGTTTTTAAAAGCGCTACGTAATCTTCCTTGATGGAAGGGGATTCACATCCCTCACACATACACTTCTGAGGAAACATATCAGCGCTCTTTACTGAATCAAAAACATTGCTAAGATACTGCGTAATACAAGCAGAGCAATATGCATGGCCACATAAAGTGAGAACATACGGATCTTCAACGTCGGCAAAACAAACAGGACATTCATTATCAACGTTTGTTTCTCTTTGTGAATTAGGCAAAGTTTTGAGAAATTCTTCTACTTTATTTTGAACTTGACTAACAGCTTCCTTAGCTCCACGTAGTACAACTTTTCGACGTCTGATCTCCATGGATGCTTGGCAGTCTTCTCCTTCAACTAGTTTGTTAAGGTCTTTCCCGAAGTGCTTCAAAATCTCTCGGATTGCACCCACGGGTCGATCTGAATGTCGTAAATCAATTTCTAAATGCGTGGTTTTCTGCAGGTCTTCGATTAATTTCTCAATCTGCGTCCGAGCTCGGAGTTTAGCTTCTGAACTGCCGGTTATTTGAATACGACGACCGAAGTTGCTTCTCTGAATGATGATGTTTTTCTTGTTCTGGATCTGATTGACTTTCGTACGGCCATAACCACTTGACAAGAGCCTCGCGATTCCTGCGTCTTCGATCACCACGACCTCAGGGGTTACTAAATCTGCCACTCTAGCTCCGATCGTTTGGACGACCTGAAAAATACAAAATGAGCATGTGGCTGCAAAAGTTGGATCAAATGGATCATAAGATTTAGGTAAACGAATGTAATTCCAAACAAATCACGATCCAACGTTTACACTCCTTATCATATACATGACAAAATTAATGCAATATGATTGGTTAAGAGGACTGCAATTATTTCATTAATTATTTATCTTCTGTAATCAGTGGCAAATACTGCAATTTCATTGGTTTACAGGAGTGCGATTTGAGCATTAATCGCACCTTTTCTGAGCTGTAATCGCACTCTTGTCTACAGCCAATGAAAATCAGTCTAGTATTTACACTAGCCAATCAGCACTCAGGATACAAACTTTGAATTTTATTTTCTTTATTGCTGTAAAAAAATTCGAAATGGAGGAATTCACAAATTTTGCCCTTTTAATTTTTAAATCAGCCCTCGAAAACCGTCAAAATTGAGGTCGGAAAAAAAATGCCGACCTAAATCTGACCTATCTCGGCATTTTTTAAAATCTGTTTCCATGTCTTGGAGCACTAGTAGCCTGCACTAGTAATCACGTATTTACGAATCATTGAAAAGTATAAATGTTACGAAGCCTTTTCTTTTAGAGTTTTACCTAAATTATATCATAAATATACCCGTTAATTCTTAAACCTTACACCAAAGTGCATCGAATTCTATAATCGCTGATTTTTTAACAACTATAAGAACCAAAAAGATTCTTACTTTGGCTGAATTAAGGTCGGCAAAACATTGCCGACATGGGAGGTTGATAGGTCGGCATTTTAATACTGAAGGTCGGCATTGCCGAATGCCGATCTCGTTTTCGAGGGTTGTTAAATTATATATTTTCTGACGAAAATGACCTACCTGTTCATCCAGCAGAAGACACCGAACTAGACACAATCCAATTCAGATGATTAATTGAACTAAAGAACTTCACTATTTTGAACACGTTATAAACATACAAACATGGCTTCCCAATTGTGTGTTGAATAATTCAAACAAATGTTGTCATGTGGTTATACCGGAAATAATGCCCGGAAGTTAATAATATGTTAATTTGATTATATATGATAAATAATAATTCAAAATTGTACTATTTCACTAAGAATTGTCGTGACAAAAATTTAATAATTATATTGAATTTCAACAAATTGTATTTTTCTGCTTTTCCCCCTTAAACAGTTTGATTACAGAAGATAAATAATTAATAAGTAATAGAACGAATTAAAGTCGTACTATTAATGCCATATTAATGCCATAATCATACTCGTGATTAACAAATCAACCTCCCGCTACGCGGTCGGTTGATTTTGTAATCACTCGTATGATTATGGCATTAATAGCACTCCTATTCGTTCTATTACCATCATTAATTGCACTTACCAGGAGTGCAATTAATGATTTGAAAAAACTAGGGATCCAGGGATAGTGTGAAGTTTCATTGACAAAGACACGTACGACAAGAACTGTATAGGGTCGCTGGCAACCTACAACAGTAAGAGCAGGCATAGGCTAAAGCAAGCACATTACTTAAAAATGTGGATTAGAACAACGTTTTTACGAGATAAACAATTCCTTATCACTCCCTTCGTAACGTCGTTTATTAAATGTGGAATTGCAAGAGCTCTTATTTGAGCATGACGACTTTCTGTTTTGTAAAGCTGATGTGATGGCTTACACTACGAAATAAACAGCATAGCCATAGGCATTTCATCTCATTATCTATTGTCTTTAATGCGTTCGGCACACGAGTAACGTGACGTTTGAAACAAAGCCTAACACATCAGAAACGTCGTGCCTCGTGGAACTGATACAATTTATTGCCCCCGCAGGGTTTTGGCCCCAGAGGGCCATATTGAAGTCCCCGCACATAATATGATATCAACAGTATATACCAGAGGCAGAGAAATTTAAGTTTTTAAGAGTGAATGTCAGTAAAAATCGAACATATGAGACAATTCGCGGCCACGACTGAAAAATCGATTTTGCTCAAATTTTGCCCAGATATACCTTATTATATCGGAAAATGCACCATATATTTTTTTAGGTCAAATGCTTTTTTAACTTTGAGAAAATGCCGTTTTAACACGACCACCCTAAATCGCCATTTTTTCTGGGAAAATATGTGCTGATTTTACAGATAAATTTCACGACGACAACCGTTTCTAATCGATCTAAAACCCTAAAAATCTTGTTTTCGGTTATTCAAAGGACGGTATACATGACTTACAGGAAATCTGAGTTACTTTTAGGAATAGATATAATCGTAGTTTTGGAGCACACTATCTTACTTCATTTACGATACCCTCTTAACAAAACCGATTTTCACCATGCGATAAAGCCCCAAATCGATCATGCTTCTACTAGTTGGCTCTTTAATAAGCAAGCTTTCAATTGACGTAAATACTTCTTTTGGCAAATGAATACGCGATAAACGACAGCGCGTTGAAATCGTCCGTTTTTGACGTCTTGCAAGTCAAACGCTGTTAATTTACATACCGTCGAAGTAAACAATTTAATCAAGTATTTTAAGTATTTTACCTTTTGAGAAGAAGATATATTCTTGAATGGAGACTTTTTGCCTTGCTTAGTTTAAAATTGGTCCAAAAATCCCGAGATATTTGTAAAATATCATCATATACAGGTATTTTGAAATATAATATTGTTGTCAGTTGCATGGCAACTTCAGATCATTGTTCAATATATTGTCTACTTTTAATAGCGCAAACATACAAATCGATGAGCTGTTTAGGGATTTTATATTTGTTACTAAATTTCCCAAAATTAGCACTTCAATTGACAATTGTTGTTTTGTTCCAGTTTGCATTGATCCATATAATGTACCATTTAGTATTTACATATCGACTATCGAGTATAAATGTTTACGAATACATATAAGTTAATTATTAAGCAGCTGTTAATAGCGTGCGTGTGAAATGAACATTTATCCATACAAGGATTTGTTATTTTATTATATATTCTACCACCTCAAACTCAAATTATAAGCATATAGCAAATACTGTAGTTTAGAATAATGTGTGTTTACTTTGATGCACAGTTAAAATAATCAGTAAAATTACTTTATTTTGATACACTAATGTCTATTGACCTTATTATATTTCACAAGTACTAGTACCCAAAAATACAGCATTGAGATATGTTGGCCCAGTGCGACACCACAAATTATTATTGTCTCCCCACACGTCGCGTTTAAAGAAAATGAAAGCTTGTTGCTCGTCTAACGCCGGATTAACCACGTGTCAAATACGGCAAATGCCGTGGGCCTCGCGCTTTACTGTGCTACGCCCATTTTTACGAGAACACGGCCATTTTCTATTGGGACACACCCATTTTAGGTACCTCGCGAATTTAGGGACCTCGCGCATTTAGGGCCCCTAGGCTTAGCAGTTCGCCCTAGCACGGCCCTGGGAAAATATGCAATACTCGTGTTCATATATTCTCTAGTTGCGTTGAGCTGTTATATTATGATCCTGTTTATACCCACCAACTGCGCCAGGCAGGCCATTATCTCGTTTATAATTGATGCAAATAAATTGAAATATTGAAAAAAATTATTTAACACTTTTGTGTGTCTTTAAATTCAATGGTTTTCATAAAAAGAAGAAAGGGGGAGGTTTGGGGGCCTCGCGCTAAAATTTGCCACGGGCCTCGCGCGACGTTAATCCGGCCCTGGTCACTTGTCGGTAGTTCTTGCGGTTTTAATGCCAATTGACAAAGATCAAAAGAGAGCACTGATGACTCCCCCCGTCGGAGAAATACTGGCGCAGCCCAAACCAGCTCAGTGAAATATGGGGCCCCAGGGCCAATTATACCCTTGGGGCCCCGGTGAACCACAATTACCCCCCTCCGTCGACAAACTTTTTATCGCCTTGCAAATTTGTATTTGCCTGTCTTCCTTGAGCTGGGGTCGCGGAGAAAATTGCTCCCTTTGCCGCCTCCCTGCATGGGCGGCCCTGGCGCCGCCCTTGTCTTATCATAACTATCTACCCTAATTCAAGCTGATTGGCGCGGCTCGATGAATTAATTGCCGCTTTCAAACAGAGGTTTATTATTTTAAACCTCTAGAACCAGGGTACCTTTTGTCACTCTGAGGCCAGCGAAATAACCTCTTCCGCAACATGCACGTACGCGTCTACTATCGTCAAGAAACAATCAATACGTATAATCGTTGTGGTCTGTGGGATTTTAATTCAATAGTGTAAACCTTGCAGTTTTAGGGAAGCCTCACATATCGATTTTTTCCACAAGAAACGTCATATGTTCGTTTTGGGGGTGGGGGAGGGGGTTTACAGCTGTGACGTTTCTCTGTAAATATCATGGAAAAGTTCGATAGTTTTTTCGAATACCTTAACATTTCGGAATCAACTTTGCAGAGTATAAAAAAGAAAACAACTTGAAAGAAAACGACTATTCAAATATAAGGGCTGGTAAACTAAAAATAAAAACTCCTTATATGGATAAACATTATAAACGTTCATTTCACATTACACGCACGCTAACAGCTGCTTAATAATTAACTTTACGTATTTGTAAACATCAGTCGATAAATAAAATGGTACATTAATATGGACAAAATGGATCAAAACCTCTGAAAACAGCAGTTGTAGTTCCAATTCTTTTGGGGAATTTAGTAGCAAATATAATCCTTAAATAGCTCATCGATTTGTATATGTTAGCGCTAAAGTCAAACGGCCGGGTCGTAGATCACGTTGAATAATGATCTGAAGTTATCATGCAACCGTCAACAATGTCTCAAAATACTGGATGTTTGATGATTTTTTTTACAAATATACCGGGATTTCTGGACCACTTTTGAACTTAGCAAAGCGAAAAGTCCCCATTCAAGAATATGTTTTTTCTCAAAAGGTAAAACACTTAGAATACTTGATTAAATTGTTTACTTCGACGGTGTATAAATTAACATGCAGCGTTTGACTTGCAAGACGTCAAAAACGGAAGATTTCAACGCGCTGTCGTTTATCG